GGTGCTCTGTGCGTTGTCAGGGAGAGATTCACTGCCAATATCTTGGGTCAAGTCAGAAACATGGCATGTGGAAGTTCCTCCACGTCATGCCCGGTTCCACCGCGTTTTGTGCGTCAGCGAAACATGCTGAAATTAATATGGAGGGCAATGCGGTCCAACTCAGCGAATCTGTCTGAAACAGCTGACAGTCCCGCTTAGAGTCAGGGCAACGGCAACAGCAACTACCAACGCAACTGCTGTCTGACGGCTCCACTGCTGATTGCCTCCTGAGCCAGAAAACATCTGAGTCTAGATAAACCGAGAGACCCGTCTCTCGCCCCACCTTGTCCACTCTCCTCCACCACCGCCAACCGACGCAGCAACTTCCGGCCGCTTCCAACAACCATCTGCCAACGCACCCAGGCACGTTTCAAAACCCACCAGACGTCTACAGCATGGCACCCCTCTCAGCAACCATGATCCCCCTCCTGGCCCTCTCCCTGGGCTCCACCACCGCCTTCGTTGCTCCCACCGGTCGTGGTGCCTCGTGGTTCTTGACCAGCCCTCAGCTTGCCGTCGGGTCATCCACATCGACCGTATCCACGCGTCAAAACGCCCGCCGCCCGTCATCAGCAGCAACACCGAGATCTTCTCTCCGTATGGTGAGCGAGGTCGCAGAGCAGAAGGCGGCCAAACTCCGAGAGACCGCGGCCGCCTTCCGCGCGCAAGCGCAGGAGCTGGAGGAGAAGCAGGCGCGAGAGCGACGCGAGAACGCCCAGCGATCTTTCAAAACCTTCGACTCCAACAAGGACGGATCGGTGGACATCGCTGAGCTCAAGGCAGGACTCGAGAGCCCGTTGCGTCGGAGCTTCACGAAGACGCTGCAGGCTCGCATGGGGCGGAATCCATCGAAAGAAGAGGTGAGTCAAGAGAGCACTGGTAGGGATCGGGTCTCGTGAATTATTGACACTGCTGTATCCATACCAGCAGGTTTAACGTTTTGGGTGCGTTAGCCAATGTAAAGTTTCAGGCATTGTAGATGACGGTGGCAGCAGCGACTTCTGCTGTTGTTCGTTTCGATCATCGACCTAGACTATGCAATGCACACGCCACCATACTACTGTCATGTTCCTTTTTGTTTCGTCCAAAAGACGCTTTCGGCGCCACCTCACACTTGAGAAATTGTCCACGTCAAACTCTGCATGCAACCCGCTTGTTGCATACTCTAAACAACCAATGCAACCATTAGGCCGGACCCCCCTGTCCCCGTCGATGGATTCGCCACTCTTCGCCGCTGCTCTGGACTATTGCTGTTGACGTAGGGCTACGTAAACCACGCCCTGAAAGCTAGTTGGTTGATAAAATAATGATATGTGGTTTTTAAAGCAAGCGTGGGATTCTTGACATTCGTTTTCGAAATATAGCCCTATGTTGCACGCACCCATCGATCACTGCCTCTCTCTCCCGAAATCAACGAACAACTCTCACCGCACTCCCTCCTCCCAACCCTGCCCTTCATCCTCCCGTTGTTCTCATACCATCTCAGGTGGACGAACGCATCGCCGGCCTCCCGGGAGGTACCCTCTTCCCCGAGGAACTCGCACTCAAGCTCATCCAGACCTATGACCAGAACGGGGACGGCCTGCTGCAGCAGTCGGAGTTCGCCCCCACGGAGGAACTCAGGACGAGGCTCGAAAACCTCTTCAGCCAGCAGCGGGAGGACGAGCGCCTGGCGCGCATGGAGGAGCGCCAGCGCCAGATGGACGACAAGATGAGGCCGGGTGCGGGGGCGGTGGTGGTGTCTCCCGGCGATGTCAACGACGGCCCGGCCACTACCGCCGACAAGGCGCTGTCCGCGTTGCCGTACCTGCTGCCCCTGGCTGATGGCATCGTGTTCGCCGCCCACTTGTTCGGCGCGTTACCGGAGCAGACGGCGTGGGCGCAACCGCTAGCCGCCGTGCTGCTGACGCTGCGGTCGTTGCCGTTCGCGACTTTGATCGGCTTCTTCAGCCTGTCCATCGGCTCCACCAACCCGCAGGTCAACAAGCTCGTGAGGTTCAACATGCAGCAGGCCATCAACCTGGACATCGCTCTGATCTTGCCCGGGGTGGTGGGTGCGATCACGGGGGCGGTATTGGGGTCCGACGCTGTGAAGCTGGCGCCTTTGGCGAACGCGGGGTCGGACGTGGTGTTTGTGGCGTTGTTGGCGGCCGTGGCGTACTCTGTGGGCACTTCGGCGACGGGGTCGTTCCCGAACAAGCTCCCGTTGTTGGGGCGGTTGAACCGCGAGAACCCCGACAACGAGCTGGAGGGGGATGAAGAGTAAAGTAACATTTGTTGCAGGACGGTGTGGTGCTGATGCTGCTCTTGTTTCGTCTTGTTCTGTGTTTCACTGTACAAAGTGTTTATTGTGCTCCAATAGATGTTAGTTTGTCAGCATGCCAGTGTTCCTGGCGAATTGCTGGAAGGCTGAACCATGTGTGGCATGCGTGTTAACATGTCAGATTCTGTGGGAGGTTAGTCTTGTGTTAGGGTCAATTTTGTGACAGATGGTGCTGAGGAGAGCGCGTTTTGTGTTTCTTGTTTCGACTTATTGACATGACGTGTGTGTTGAGAGTGTGGACAATGTGAAGATTGCTCCACCCTCTGCTGTCATTATCGATGTACTGAAGTTCGGCAGCTGTAGTCTCTTGGCATTAGGCATGTGAAATCAAGAGAGGATGTTGATGGGAAAGTCTTTATATTTCGTCTTGTTTAACTTTCTGGGTTGACGTGTGCGTTGAGAGTGTGACAACGTAGAGATTTTCTCCGCCGTCTGCTGTCAGTGTGTACCGTAGTTCGCCGGCAGAATTGTCTTGGCATTGTGGTGTAGCGGTTCGACAGAGTTACTAGCGAGCACATACGGCCTTTCTCACGTTCTGACTTGTTGTCTTACGGGGAACATGCTTAACGGAAGTACGTTCGAGTGTCGTCGGTCTTACACTGAAAATTTGACACACTTTCTGTACGTTGGAACGGAATGTCCTTGGGAGTGCTGGGGTGAATTGTATCCCATGAGGGGTTAATGAACCCAGCGTTGGGGAATTCGTCTCCATAAAAAACAACAAAAAGTTTCATACAACTTTTTGTCGGCAGAGGCAGGTCGATGACAGACCACCACCCGAGATGTGATCGACTTACTGCTGCGAGATCCTGTCGGGCTCACATTCTCGGCACAGTGCCCCGCGCACGTTTTTTTGTTTTGCACTCTGATACAAGGTGCAATCCACTCTCGTCCACCAAGAGCAACGAACGCTTGGTGTTTAGTTTGGGCCTGGGTCGTGTCCGGGTTGCATCCCTACAGACGCGGCTCTGTACTCCAGAACCGCTTTTGCCCATGGACATGACGTTTGCTAGGTTCGTTCTAGTAATCGTTTTTCAGCGGACAGTCTTCTCCGTCGTTTCCTACACCCTCGTCTCGTTGATAAGTATCATCTGGATGGACGGGTGTGGACGACTGAAACCTAGTATGTAACTCATTCCGGGAGGATGCCATGTCAAACCTTGTTTCCGATACCGGTGGAGGCATCGCCTCGGCGAAAAGAGTGTGTGGTAAGCAAAACCTCGCCGGCACATGACCCTGGCCCTAATCCATTGTATTTTCCTGTCCGAATGAGACGTCGTGGAAATATCTTGGTGATACGTTCCAGTCAGTAGTTACACCGAATGGTCGTAGGAAGTAAAACGCTAAGAGTTGTCGTTGTAGAAAAAACTGTTATTCTATACATGTATGCGCGCTACTGAATACGTTCGACGACTTCAGAACGTCGGATACGGTTTCGGTCGGGCCTCATACCAGTCTGTTAACCCTTATGTGACTACAGGCCGACTCGGCTCCGATCGTAGCTCCGATCACTGTGCGTGCCGAAAGATCGCCATTGTGCCTCGGCTAAGAGCAAAATACATACATAGAGACCAGCAGCGAGACACAGGCAGCCCACCCCAAAAACGCGCTTATCAGCAATGCGCACAGGACTCACATAGTACAATACTATTCACCCATGCCTCATCTCTCTGACGTGGGGTAGATATCCTTTCCAGATCCAATCTACTGCCTACCGGTACTGTAAGATTCAAACGCAAATACCACCGGAGGGTACATACAGCAACCTGAACATGTGATCAACCCGGTGCCGCATCCGCGGGGGAGAGCAGAGAAAGCGCACACCGGAGCCAATGCTAACGTACTGCCTCGGTGCTTGATGTTGTTGTGATTGCGGTGTGTGCGGTCCCCAGTATTGGGAGTGAAGGGTGGTTCGTCTGCTGTGGGCAAAATTTCGCTTAAAGGCGAGGGTTTTCGGGACTACAGCTCCGATCACAGCTCCGATCACAGCTCTCTATTTGTTGTACACAATAGTAAAATTTATCACGATAGTGAATGATGGTCTCGATTCGCTGATGAGCGGGCCGTTTTTTTCGTCATCTGGCGCTTCTGTGAGGCGGTTTCCCGTCAGCGTCTTCGCATCTAGCGCCGCTAGCATATGCGCTTGCCGTATGCTCTGTCCAAGGATGAGGTGGAGAAGATGTGCCAACAGGTATTGCTTGCACAGGTACACCCTCTGTGCGGACGGTTGCTGTCGAAGACAGGCATGCACACCTGTTCAGAAACTGCTGCTGCTGTACAGTCTACTTCTCTCCGCGTAGCTGCTACTGCTGTACAGCAATAGTACTACTGTACTCCTGTTCGTCACCCTTACATACACCGCGTCCCCATCCCTGTGAGCCCCACACATGGACTTACTGCTGCACCATCCTTGCCGCCGTGATTTATGGGTGTACACGCATGCTTGGAAGATCTTTGACCGCAGAGAGCCAGTTGTGGGGAAAAAACAAAAAAAAATAATCCAGTCACGTCAGGGTTAAAGGACGTGACCAACAGAGTTATCATTGGTACCCCGTTCGAGAGCTTGTGTTACAGTAGCCCCACCTTGTCGCGAAGGGTTTGAAATTTCTATCGGCTGCCCCACACGTCGCACTCAATCCTACTGCGTCCCCTCGAAGTTGCTTCGAAGGACGACTTCGTCACTCGGCGCGCCCAACATCACCTGCAAGTCAAGGAGCATAGACCCCTGCCCTACCCGACGACCACCCCCCTTCCTCCTCGCCTCTCGCAAGTAACCTCCTAGGAAACCCCCCTGCGGATCCTCAAGCTCCCCCGTTTCTCTCTCTTTGGCGAGCCATCTGGCCACCTTGGCCTCCGCAGCCTTGACCGTCTCTCCCGCTTTGACGGCGACGGGGCCGAGCCGTTCGCCTTCCTCTCCCCCGACCACCTCCCCGGGTACAAACAGCCTGATCACCCGTTCGCGCGCCACGCGTGCGGCCTCCCTGCGGGCCTCCGCTTCTCGGTCCCTGTCTTGTATCCGTTGATTCCTGGCGGTCTCCGCCGTTTCGTCGACGGACTCGAGCAAGCTGTCCAGGGCGTCGAGCACGGAGGAACGCTGGCCTACGTCGGCTGCGACCCGTCCGAAGAGCCACGGCAAGAATACCTTTTTGATCTGCCGGGGGGCGATCGCGATACATTCATCGTGGTTGTCTTTAGTTTTGTGCGGTACGAAAGTTGTTGGGCCACACACCACACAATCAAAGCCCCGTTCTTGGTGGTACCATTGAGACCCGACGATGGTTTAAGTGAGGCACATAACTGTAGCCTAGACCGTAGCCTAGACCGTAGAGAGGACAACGAGACGTGGTTATTAGGGCTAGCCGGGAAGAAAGAATGCAAGTGCCGCGTTTCGACCGGATCGTCCCCCACCTGTTGGACGCTTTGCGTCTCCCACGACTTCGCGCTCAGCTGCTCGAACGCGCGATCCAGCGAGAGCGGCAGCACCTGTCGCACCAGCTGCAGGCACGCCACCTTCTCCTTCGCCAAGCGTCGGCGGTTCGCCTCTTCCCTCTGCCGCCGGCGCAGCTCCTCCTTCTTCTTCTCCGCCTCCACCGCCGCCTGCTTGAGCTCCAGCACCTGCTGCACTTCTTCCGCCCGCTGGTGGACAAGAGCGGTCGCCGCCTCCCGAATGCAAAGCAGCTCGTGCTCACGTTCGACCTCCATTCGTGCTTGCTCCAGAGTCTAATGACATGCGAGGAAAAATCAAGCGATGATACTCCCAGAGTTAGCGGGGCAGGAGGGGGCGGGGGGGGGGGGGTGAAGAGATGCCGTCCGAGACTCCTATCGGACAGGAGAGTCGGAAAGGGGTACTCGCGGTTCGGGCATGGACCCTCTTGCAAGGGCCGGAGTGCACGACAACCGCACGGCTATACCATAACAACGAAGCCAACGGACCTCCACTTGCCGCCGAGGGGGGTGATAATGCCTAGCGACAGGAAAGGATCCTTGCAGAAAGGACAACCAAGCTACCGAACAACAGAAAAACAGTGACAACGCGATTCTTTTCAGTGTTCATAAAAAACTAAGTGTACCTCTTACCTTCCCGACCAAGACTGCCAACATGGGCTGGACCTCCGCTTCGAAATCGAACAGCTTGTCAGACACCTCTATTTGAGTCCAAGCATCCACGCCCGTCTTTTTGGGTACGAAGTCTGGGGTCTGTGGCCTCTCCTGAAAGTCGTCGGTTTGGGTGTCCGCCTCACGCTCTGGTCGAGCGGCGGTATCTCCCGGTTCGACGAGATACCTGTTATCGATTAAACCGAGCGTTAGTTTTGTTTAGCGGTAGGTGGAAGAACCTACGCCTGACTACACTACGTACGCAGTTCACGAAAACCTGGCCACGATGCACGTTCACTTCACCAAACAGCCCATACAACCTGTTGCTTCGAGTGAGAGTTGGTCCGCTCTGGCCCGCTTTAGTCGATAAGTTGCACACCTGGAGAGGTCTAGCTCTTCTCTGAGAACCGGTTGGCTGGCCCTCGTGTCGAAGAACGACGACGACGAGCCCCTTGATCGGCTTTGCCCTAGACGTTTTCTGCTTTTTTTCGCCACTGTCTTCGGTCCCGGTTCTGCTGTGCGGTGATACATAGGGACGGGCAAATGGACGAGGCAACAGGTACAAAGCAGCCGAAAGGTGAACCGGTTTTTCCCGTGTTAAGTACTTTACCGGGGGGGCAGTGGGGGGGGGGGGGTGCATACCGGATATTGCCAACCTTTGCTCGAGGATTGGATTTGCTCAGGGGTCTACGCCCAGCGAAAAAGGTGCTGATATTGATTGGTGGCATGTCACTTCTTCTGTGGAAGCCATCAACCTAGGAGCTTGCGAAATTGTATGCATAGACTGCTGCTCTGCTGTTCTTGTTGATGCACGGCAATGTCGCCACTGGTTACCCATACCGTTGTACGGCGTGGTTGCACACACAGCAATGCCTGCCCGCATCATAAAGGCCAGATACGACGCCCAGGACAATGGTCACACTTCAAATACAGGCAGCACGGATGTGGTTAAGTGCATCTGCTCGGTGTATACAACCCTCGCTGCCGCTAAACACTCGAGGTTTAAGCCAAAACAACAAGAATCGAAGGCTATTTGCTTAAAGTAGCCTGTCCTTGTACAGTGGGGGGGCGGATACAAGGCGGTGGCCGACATGTAGACATGCACCGGCCATATACAGCGTTTCCCCACAACGGCTGTGCAAACGTGTGGGGGGGGGGCTCAAGGTCGTCACGACACACTGTAATCGTGTAGACTACACCTTTGCATACCTGTTGCATGTTGCTCCATTCCAACACATACAAGACTTCATCCTCCTGAAAAACCTAACTCCGGGAGTAGCTGCTGTGCGTCTACATGCGCCAAACTACTGTTGAACCGCTGTATACAGTATTCCATGCCGGGTTCTCGCCGGCCGGGCTCGCCCCCGTTGTACAGTACCCAGACACACAATACGGTATGTAGCGGTAGTAGAATAGATCAAGTGTTCGCGCAAACACCAGGAAGCACGCTAGCAGGAACAATCCATCACACACAAGCAACATCGTCTTCTGTACTACTGCTTACAAACACAGTCTGAAGCAATTTATTTCATCTCTCACCAGACGGTTGCGCGTCCCGCCTGTCACCAGCAAACGTGTTGCCCCTCGCAACCCGCGGGTCGTGGTGGATATTGATAGGGAAAAACGGGTCGTAGCGGGCCCCTGCGTTTCCATTGCCGTTGCCACCGCTTCCAACTACGTCTCGTCGGGACTGCTGTTTATTGTGTGGCCTCGTCTTGACCGGCCTTGGCTGCGACGAGAACTCGTACGCCGGGGGAGCCGGCATACCTGCTGCACACAGCACTACCGCACTGTAGTCAGCGAACGACGGTATTCCCTGTACTAAATCCCGACGTTGCACACTATCCAGAGACGGCAGGGGCTCGCGACGATCGGAATGCACCCTATTTTTTTCGTCGAGAGGGCATTCTTCACCGAAGCGACACAACTAGCAACGACACGATGACGGCACATGACCATTAAACGTCGGATCTCCCACATCTCCATAGATTTTTTTTTTCCCGCGGGGACTTTTGGGCGGCAGGCTCAAGTTGGTTGCATGTTATATGCAAGCATATGTAGAGGTAATTCCACCGCTATTCCCGCAATTCGCCTATTCCCGCATTGACCGCTTTGACTCTCCCCCTATTTCATTGCCTCTCTCTCCCTCTCGGTATCCACAACCGATCCAACAGCAGAAGCAGAAGCACCCACGGTGAAGCACGTCAATCTGGACGCGGGAGGCTTCGTGCACAGCAACACGTGAGAGGACAGAGTGTACGCACCGCATAGACTACGGCAGTCTACCAACGTACGTACTTTCGATTTCAGACGCACAGGTCTGGATTTTGAATCGGCTAACCCAGGCGGTGGTGTGTTGGTAACTGATTGCTGGGTCGGGGGAGGTGGTTTGGCTCTGTGAGTTGGCCTCTGTTTCGTGCGCTGTAGGATTGGCTTGTATCCAACCGTTGACTTGGTACCTATCATCCTCTGTGTAGCACCATGTATTGTAGACTATCTGCAAGGCCACACAGCTGCCACGCACCCCCTGCAACCTCCTACAAAGGCCGGGTCAACAAGAACCCCAGCAACACAGCGACCACAGCAACTGCTTCCATATCCAGCCGGGATGTGCAACAAGTATTCAATATATATGTATGCCACCTCAGTGGATCGCAGTAACCGCGGCCTCAGCAACCCAGGGATCCATGGGTGGTTGCGAGGACCTGGTACAGCTCCATAGCTGCTTCTTTGTGTTGAGGCCGGCGACTTCCAGTCCGAGCTCTTTGGGTGTGAGTCATCCATTGCCCCCATCATGCATGACACAGCCAGTGGGTGGCGTTCTTCGGTACTGTTGTTACGGAGCAGCGGTATGGTGCGGTAGCAAACGCAGAAATATTTGTAACAGGCCACGAACTGATGTCGACCTGCCGCGTGGAATGCGTTCAGGGTCTGCTGCTTGTCGCACCTGTTTATTATGTTTTTATCGCCGAGCCGCGCTGACTCTCGCTCTCCTCAACTTGCCGTCTAGGAACCGGTTGTATATGTGCGGTGTTTAAGCGTGCACGACACGAAAGCCTGCCCCTTGTTTTGGTTTAGTGTTGAGTTGACCCATGGCATGTGTCCTCAATATTCGGAAGAGAGCAGGAACAGGCGGCTAACTGGGCAACTTGGTACAGTACAGCAGTGGCTCATCTATCTACGGAAATATTTTTCGGTGCAAATTTGAAAAATTCAACCCGCTCTTTTTGGCCAGAGAAGGAGACAGGCTCCTCGCGCACTGCTGTATTCCACGGTTGCATGTACAGGCAATTCTCTCTAGATAAACTCTTCACAGCCAAGCGAATTCATTTGATTGACAGGGAGGGCAGATAGATGAGTTGATGCCCCTGGAATCGCTCGATATTTTGCGCGCGAGCCATATTTTTTTTTCTGTTGTTCGGCGTATTCATACCAGCATGTTGCAAACAAAATCCTCCTTGTTGTTGTACAAAGATCTGGATTGTTGATATTTAATTCATTGTTGATACAATATGCATACGCACGACAACCCTGAGGATCTGAATTGTTGCAATTCGAGACATCATGGGCGTGGCATGCCTGCACTCCTGGAACGCCGAGTTGGTTCAAAGTTGGTATTTTAACGCCTTGCCAGCAAACGAAGAGACGAGAGGGCAGTCCGTACGTTTTCCCCCCGCTATATTCGCCGTAAATCTCCGTATTTCCCCGCCTCCATCGATTTTCACTCTGTTTATTTATCCTGCGAATGATATCGCCGCATCTTAATTTGGCGTGGAATCTACGTTATTCCCCAGCAATCTCCCCCGCTCTTTGCTCCTAATATGCATTGTAACCGCCACCACGGTAGTTACCCACCTTTAAGAATTCCATCCTGTGGATCTCCCCGCTACTTGTAACTCCTTGTTTTGTTTGGCGGTTAATATACGCATTTTCCGGGAACCTGAATCTAGACAGGTACCGTTGGGGATGCATAGTGTTTTTTCTTTGCCGGCGGCCGCTGTGATTGGCAACGGTAGTCTCGTGCATGGGGACTTACTTACTATCTGGTCGCATTGAGTCACCTGACATCCTCACTTTTGCGCATGAATAATTAAGCATCTCTGAGAACACATTCAGACGCACCACACAAAAGAACTGCCGTTTTTGGGCGAGCCTCGGGTGCTTATTCCTTCTGAAGGTTATCAACAGCCCACAATTCGCTTTTTGTATAAAGGTTTCATCCAGGTATCACAAACGAACCCTACTTGTGTGCCGGGTTCTACTCAAGTGGCAATGCACTCTGTATATCGCGTTTCAGGTCTCGTGGGCACTTTTGTTTGGAATACCACGCGTTTCGCCACACCCACCGCCGTTCTCCCGCTCTCTTCGTGAGGACATGGGCGCCAGGGGCTATAGCTAAATCTCCTCCCGTCGACAGCTCGACGTTGAGTTGAAAAACAGAATACCAGGTAGTGGTTGGAAGTGGAGATCGTCCTGCATGTACGCCATGTACTAGGTGTACCGCCCTACGTAAGTGACCAGCTGCTGTGTCTTCACCGGGTGCTTCAAATCAAGCTGTAGGGGACCCGAGCGAGGGCAACCCCTGAGGGAAGTGCAAGTATGCAATGCATGCATACCACAAGTCGAGAATTGCCAGGAGTACAAAAGACCGGTTCCCACGTCACACACAGGCACTCTCGTTTCGTGGGAAACCCTCACGCTCCTCACGCACCATTTTGATGACAACAGCACACAGCGACAACAACAAAGTTGGGACGTTCTTTTGCTTTGTCGGTTGTGGAGATCACGAGGTTGGTTGATTTCTTGCATCTGCGTTGCAATAAAACACCAAAGCATCGACGGTTTCGCCTCTACCTTCGGAGGAGGGAGGGGGGGCAGCTAGCGTTTGCCCACCGACCTTTGGTCAGTTTCTCGCAGGCAAAGAATCACGTTGTACGACGGTATGTGGCTTGACATAAAAGGATCAAGGACATCCCCTTCGACTGTGGTATTGTCTCGAACGGGTAGTCTTTCTGTGAGATTATATGTACTTTCTATAAAGGATCAAGGAAAGACCGATTGCATGTTGCTGCTGCCATTGTGCCCAATCGTTCCTGACGGCCAACACTGCCTACCGTTGCTGATATTGCCGGTGAACGTGCAACAGGACGCTCAAGGGGCACCGCCGACTCGAAAGATGAGCGATATGGAAGCAGGGGGTGGGGGGGTTGCCCCAGCTGTTCCGGTGCCGAAGGGAGGCGGCTCTATTGAGAACCGAACGGGAACCACCGGGGGAAGCATGTCTTCCAAGGTGAGACAAATGGCGGGGCCCCTGGATACAGTCTCGTCTTTGAGCATCGTAAGAACAAAGGTGTCAGGATTCAGTAGATGGCGGTGGTACTCCGTGGTTGAACCATTCAACGTTTGACGTGACCGTACGGTTGGGGGGATTTTTTGGGGGCGGGAGACATCAACTCCGTGCTGCCGCCAGGTTAGCTGCAGCAGTTTTGACCCTCCACCGAAATCCAGAGCTTGCCCCGAAAAAAATGTTTTTCTTCTCTTTAGCGGTTGGGTGAGGAATCGACATGTGTCGTAACTCGTGATGTATTTTTTTCGTGTTCGTTTGTTGGTCCGCCGCGTCTTTGCCGTTGCCCATGCTTGCTGCTGCTGCTTGCGTCTTGGTTGCCGATCAGATTGGGACAGGAGGCAACCACACCCTATCCGTCATGGACCTCTCGTACTCGGTCCAGATCACCGACAAGGACACCAAGGTGAGAAGAGAAGAGAGGCCAAGACAAATCAAAGCATCAGTCAACTCAAGGGAAGGGTACAGCTGAAGGTTGAGAGTTGCCTAGTGCTGCCTACCGGTTTCTCTGGCACGTCACGGAAGGGTTCAGGTTTGCTGTGTTGTCTCTCTACGGTGGGATTCGCACGCCACCAAGAAGAGTATGCGTACGACGGGGATGATTGTTTTGTGGTTGTGTTGAACCGGGGCATCGGTGGCACGCACGACGATGTGTGGGCGAGACCCCACGTGCGTCGTCCACAGCGCAAGCACCACCTCGCTCGTTCCCTCTCCACCCCTCCTCTTCTTCTGTTGTGACTCCTCCCCTTCTTGTGTGGTGACCGCTTTCCTCCCCCTCCTCTTTCATCCCATTCCATTCATTCCCCTCTCCTCTTCTGACAGCTAACCTCTATCCATTACCTCTTTACGCGTGCCCTGGCCTGACGCACTCAGGAGAAGCAGACGAAGACCCTCCTCCACCCCGTGACCTTCAGCATCAAGCCCACGGAAATGCTGGCCATCATGGGCGCGTCAGGGGCCGGGAAGAGCACCCTTCTCGACGTCCTCGCGCAACGCGTTCCCTTCAGCGAGGCAAGCCGCCGCACTGACTACCTACCCCCCGCCCCCCTCCCCGTCCCTGCGGAGTCCTTCCAGCTGCTTGACCCTTCCTCGGTCCTTCAGCTAGAAAAAATCCCCGAGCCTTGGCCCGTCAGTTGGCTCTGTGTTCGTAGCGAGAGTTACCCCTGCGGAGATTAGCGTGTGTTGAGACTTTCTTGCCTTGACGGCGGCAGCAATGTTTCTTGTTGTTCTTGCGGTCTCTCGGATCTGCTCGGGTACAACCGCCGGGCTTGCCTTTCCCCCCCCCCCCCCTCTTTTTTCTGGCGTATTGGTTTTGACAATGGTGACGGGGGGCTGCCTGCTGCCGTGACACCCGGCTGGCTTACCCCAGAGACTGTTGAACCACCCTATGAAAATGTTGTTGGCCGGCATAAAGGATCTGTCGGTATTTGCAACGAATCACAAGGTGGTGCACGCGTTGGTTTCCTGCTGCAACCGAGCATTTTTACATTCAAAGTACATATGCTGCATTCGGTATAGGGTATGTTGGATAACACAAGCTTGCTCCAAAAATAAGCGATACGCACGTCGTACTGAATTTTTTCTACTGGTCATGAAGACATGTAGCATCCACATACGTGCTATCTTACACTTTACAAATCTGGTTGTTCTTGCGTTTTTTTATATTTTTCCTCTGGTATTGACGCATGTCGGCGCGACGTTAACCAGTGCCCACTATTCGAATCGTTCAAAATGGTTCATTGGTCCTTATCAGGTGGAGGGGAGCTACTTGCTGGACGGCCAGGCCATTCAACCCAAGGAGTTCAAGCGCATGTCGGGATACGTGATGCAGGTGAAAGATTGGGCGGTCGTTCTTGTCTAGCTGCTGCTGCTGCTGCTGCTGCTGCTGCTGCTTTATGGCCAAGTCTTGATGGATGACGCCAACAAGCGAACCGCGTGTTTTGACAGATTCCCGGCTGGGTTGCGCAGGCAGCGTTTGAACCTCATGCCGGCGATTCTGGCGCTTGTTGCAATGCAAGTCTTCCGGAACAACAGAAACGACACAATACTATGTAGTGCAACCAACTTTAACGACTAGCAGCAGCCAACGACAGCGACAGCATCAGCCAAAAACAACGACTTCTAGTAGCAGCCTGCAAGCGAGAAGCTTGTCTGGTACAGGAGTTGTGTAGCCCCGAAAATTATCGTGCACCCAGCCAGGTCAGAGCACTCGACGGATGCTGTCGCGTTTGTTTGTGTTTTGGGCTCCTCGAGTCAAGTACTGCAAGCAGGTCACATGGATGTACGTCTCGGCAGGCACCAAAGATCGTTCGTTGCCCCAAATCAGCGAGCACGAGCGGGTCCCGCCGCAACAGTCTCGTGTGGGAAATTTTCTTGCTACATACCCCCCCCCCCCCAACCCCGCCCCCAGGGTCTTTTCGTGGTTTGCTGCAAGTGCTGGTGATTGATTCGATTCTGACTTCGGTTTTATCTCGTTACAACGGCTGGGCGGCGTTGCCTCCAGTTGTGCATGTGCACCCGGATGTCCTTGTTGCTAACTTGTGCCTCTTTTTTCGCTCTTCTATTGTGTGATTGTTCCAGGACGACGCTCTGTACCCGTTGCTCACGGTGCGAGAGACCCTCCGCTTCGCCGCTGAGCTCCGCATCCCCAACATGACCAAGGTAAGGAACCTTCTTTCTTTCTTTTTGCCAAACGATCATTCATACGTTTCACAATGTTTTCAATGAAATGCATCCCGACAAGAGAAAAATTACGAGTGGCACAACTGTTGTGTCAAGTTTTCTTTTGCTTGCGTGTTTGTTTTTTTCTTGTTCTCACGTCGAGGGGTACGATTGTTGTTGTGGTTGGCAGGCGGACAAGTATGAGCTCGTGGAGGAGACAATTCGGCAGCTCAAGCTCACCAACTGCGCTGACACCAAGATCGGCAACGAGATACACAGAGGCATCTCTGGGGGTGAGACAGACTATTAATATACTATTGCATTGTCATTTGAACAACGTGTGTACCACAGGTTACATACGTAAGGTCGCACATACCCCGGGCCGATGTTACACAACGGACAGCAGTGACAGTGTCGACAAAATGGCGTTCTTGGAACCGTCTCGTCGAGAGTTTTCCGAGAAGTCTTGTTCCATCCTCGTGGAGTTGTGGGGCAAAAAGTCGAGCTTCAATGATCGATTGGTCCAAGGGGTATGGTATCTTACGTATGAAACCTATGGTCCTATCCAGGGAAACTCCAACACGAAACACATGCCGACAGCGTCAAAGTTTCCAGCGCATTTCTTTACAATGTAGCAAGTCTGTTTTTGTTCACAGGACAGTGCCCACACACGCTGCTGCCACTAGCATCTGCTTGCCTACCTTTCTTGTAGAAACGGATTTTTTTTTGTCGCAGCTGGTGCATTCATGTCGGTCTCTGCTCCTTCGTACTGCTGATAAATGAGAATAATATGATGCCGTAGAATATGCTCTCTACGACTCCCTACGTCCCTGGCCTTCGGTCACGACGATGATGGTGGTCATCATGAATCAGTGGAAGCTGTTGCATGTTCGATGTCCGCTGTTCGTCATGACAATGGTGTGAGCTAGCATGTACCACCAGGTTGACTAGTTTTTGTTGTGCTGTCATCGCGTTTCGGCGATTTTTTTTCTGTGTCCATTTGTGTTTCCGTTCCGTGATTCTGGAAAGGTGTATCCCTCTTGGGCGTGTAGTTGACTATTATTGTGACCACGGAAGGCGCCCCCATCAGTTGGACCAGTACCGATGCTAGAAGGTACAGTTCTGAGTGGAGACAGGAACTTTTTTTTTTTGTGAAGATAGTACTAACAACAACACGACGACGGCGGCTTATTTTTCGCGACGGCAATTACATGTCAGGGGAGAAGCGTCGGGTGTCGATCGGTGTTGACACGGTGCAGCAGCCCACCATCATTTTCCTGGACGAGCCGACGTCGGGGCTAGGTGAGTGGGGGAGGGGGTTGTGATGTGACATGACGTCACCAGACTGATTCACAACCTATCTATGGTATGTTGTTTCCAGAAAATCACTCCCATCAAGTTCGGTATGCCGCCTCGCCCACGGATGCCTTCCTTGTGTTTTTCGTTGAGTTTTTCTTTTTTCCTGAAGCAATGAACCGACACCTGTTTTGTTTGCGTTGTGAGGTGTGTGATACAGATACTTAGAATGCCGTCTATCTAAGCTTTTCCGCCGTATTCATTCCCCTATTTCGAAGTCCAAGCGATATCATCACCTCCAAAAGACCGGGTTCCACATGTTCGGAACACCCGGGTGCAGGCGTAACGCGCCCCGTAGCTAAACCTTGTTTCGTTTATTTTCCATGTTGTTCGGGTAATGTGTTTTATGACTGACTCTACGACGTCATTGACGGTCCGCCCTTTCTCACTGTGCAACCCGCCGCCTCCACCGTGTTTTGTTTTGGTGGGGTATCTACCTCTGGCAGACTCTACAACGGCGTTGACGATTGCGGAGACGCTTTCCTCCGTCTGCAAGCGCAACCGCACGGTGGCAATGACCATCCACCAGCCTTCGACGAGGGTGCTAGATGTGTTCGACAAGGTCATGTTCCTCAGTCGCGGCAGGGTGGTGAGTTTGTTACATTGGAAGTGTATTCTCTTGCTCGCTCGCGTGTACCCGTCTCCCCCGAAGCCATTGAGTTCTAGGGTTGAATCAATGATAGGTAGCCTGGTAAAAATATCCCGTCATTGTTTTACATTGGGGTGGTTTGTTTCTCTCTCAAAGGTGTTGGCCGTATTTTCGTCTTGCGAAGGACCAACAGCGATTCATTTGTCTTGTTTTCAAAGGTAGCAGCGCTTGTTTCTCCCGCATATTTTACTGGAGTACATCCGGTTTGTTTTGTTTGTGTCCTGCCTTGCTATCTCGTTTCGGTCGATTCATCATCGTCATATTGCTTACCGTGACTTCTTGCTGTTTTTGTTGTGTTCACATCAGACAACCGTCACGGTCTCTGCTGTACCATATTTTTCTGCACTGATCCAAGCGATGCGCACGACTTCCGTGGTCACAGGCTAACTACCCAGAAAAAAAATCTAGAAATAAGAATGGTTGGTTGATTTTTTTTTTCTTCGCGGGTATGATTCGGGTGTGTTTGTCCTACCACCAAGGTCTACTTCGGGCGCCCGGCAGACTTGCCAGCCTACTGCACCGGCCTTGGCAAGACGCCTCCGGCGTACTCTAACATTGGAGAGTTCTTCCTCGAGGTGGTGGACGAGTACGAGGCCGCCGACAACGTCAAGGTGTGGTGTACCTTTGTTGGACTAGACACTACAAGCAGTGCCTTGTAGCTGTAGCTTTTCTAGGGTCCTTTTGTGTGAACTCCCTCCTGTTGTAGACGTGTGCGAAGGAGACGTGTGTGCGAGGAAGTAGTTGACGCTACAAGCCGAGAACGTGCGGTGAACCTTAATTCGACTCGGTATTGGAGAAAGTGCCTTGGTACATACATGTAGCTGGTTGTTTTGTTTCGTCTTTTGGTAGCCTTCTTTCCCCCTGGAGGCTTTGGCAGTAGCTGTGACGATTGTAGCTGTGCACCCAAAGACTCCCCACCCGTGCCTAGGTGCATGCACTCACACGTTACCCGAAGCTTACACACATTCTCTCTCTCGCTCTCTCCCGCCACGTGCCCATTGGTTTTCCTATCCAACAGGCGTTGGCCGACCGCCACCAGGAGGCAGTACGCATGCGAGCCCCCTCAACGGTAAGTTTTTGATATCTCACCTCACTCTAGACCTTTAATAGGTCAACAGTCGTTTCTTGTGGTTGCTGTTTCAGAATGGGCGTTGGTGATTGGCCCTACTGTACAGTGCCCCGAGAATGTAAGACACATGCCCCCTCTGTGACAGGTGGTTGGCCTATTTGTGTCGCACGTTGTCGTTTGTTTCAAACGTTGTTTTCAGAATTGGCGTTGATGGTTGGCCCTACCCCAGAGAATGATTTTGGCATCTACCTTCAGCGTCAGGGTGGTTGGTCTCTTGCTTTCTCTGTCCCTCAGTCGTGGTGTCGTTTACCACACTTCGTTCGGATGTGATGGTGTGATGGAGTTGCCAATGCCATGTCGACCACGCCCCCTTGTTTCACAGCAATGTTTGTTTTGCCAAGGGTTTGCACACTCGTGCTCTCCTGTTTCTCAGCCGCCGTGCTTTCGTGCCCCTTTCGTTGTGTTCAGGCTGGTGCAGAGGCGGACGCGCTGAATGACACAGCTCACGACTTCGCCAACCCGATGTTGAAAGAGATCATCATTCTCCTCCGACGCCAGGTGAGGAGCGAGCGACATTGCATTCCATTCATAACGTCGCTATAGACAAAGCTTGCAATTTACCGCGACGGGTTTAGCAGCGATGTCCAGCCGTTGGCACTCTATGAGGCAGGTATGCGCAAGACCAATCCACTCGTCCTATTCAATGCCTTAGCCGTCTTGAATATTCCTTCCATCTATGCCAGCCAGTTTCACCCACCCTTACAGCGAGCACCCACCTTATAGAGGGCCTGCGACTGTACATGACGTGTCGCGATAAACATGTACACAGCTTGTACCGTGGCGACGAATTGCGTTTACCGCTTGCTCTTACTATCGTGTTCGGGTGGTTGGCCTTTGTTACATAGTAGTCATCAACATTGGTTTGTTTGTGGCACAACACACACCCGACTGTTGCCAGAGCAAAGACCAGGCCCACCCGTTGTGGGAATTAGGTCGCGTTGCTTCTAGACGACGCGCATTTTGTATTGGCCTCTCTACTTTTGTTCGTCGACAGAGTGAAACAGAGAGTGAGTGAAACAGAGAGTGAGAGAGAAAGAGAGAGAGAGAGAGAGAGAGAGAGAGAGAGAGAGAGAGAGAGAGAGAGAGAGAGAAAGAAAGAAAGAGGGAGAGAGATTCCAACCCGTGGTCACACAGAAGAGCCTATCTCTACCCTCCCCTCCTGCGGTACTTCGCCTTCAATTTTTAATGCTAGAAGAGTGAGAGTGAAAGAGAGAAAGGGTCATATTAATGGTGGTTTCACCCGGAAATTTTGTTTTCTTGTGTGGGCCGTCTTCTTCTCTTCTCTTCGCGCAGTGGATCAACGTCGTGCGGACGCCGGAGCTCGCCGTCGTCCGCGTGGTGATGTGCTCGGTCGTTGCCCTAGTGCTGGGGTCCTTGTTCTGGATGACCGACGCTGACGCCAAGGGGTTTGGAGGCCGTGCGGCATACTTCGCGTTCGGTGAGTGCAGCGAAGGAGGGCAGACAGATATGTGTAGTGTGTGCTGCGTTTGAAGAGGATGGAGACAGGCTGCTCTTGCGGAGAACGTCGCTGGTTGGAAGAAGGGGCTGGTTAAGGAAGTCGTCACCTCATGACCCGAAAATGAGAATCTACATCCAATAGTAGCGCAGAATCACCCATTACAGGATAGTCTCCCTATGTACATACAGCATCGCCCATTCCAGGATAGCCTCTTTAGGTACAGCATCTCCCGTTGGAAAATGAGTGTATTCAGGCGCAGCATCGCCCATTGAAACGAGAGCCTCTTCAAGCACAGAATCACCGTTGGAAAAAGAGTCTCTTAAGCACAGAATTATCACACGTTGGATAGACTGACAAGGTTCTCGATGGGGCCTTGCCAGGAGAAGGAGAGGACATAAGCCCGTCTGGGATGGGGTGTGAGCGGTGGTTAGCTAGGGCCTTACCTCTTGCGGGCATAGACCCTACCGTGAGAGAAAGACTACTGTGGTCTATAGATTAATAGAAAAAAAATGTCCTTTGAGGTTCGTTACGTAGGCTCTTCGAGTCAAAAACACATCAGCTGTGAGGTAGGCATGCCTCCATGATTTTTCTTTCAATATGCATCACCCCTTGATGATACTGCTGTGTTCTCATGAACCCACTCCGGAGGGATCACTTTTAAGTACAAAACGATGGATGGGGGACTACTGTATCATCAGAGACAGGCGTGCTCGCGGCAGCAACAGCAGCAGCGGATCAATTAGGGCGCGTTGATGTGGGAGGGCGACGTGGGGCATGGCTCGTCCGCGACGGGTTGTTTTTCTTGTGCAGCAGAGGAAGTATCTGCAAAAACAAGAGAGCAAAGAGCAAAAGAGCGGGGGCGGGGGAGCACCAGTAGCAGCAGCAACGGTTACGCTTCTCTAGCGGCGCCAGTACGGGATGTTTGAGTTCGAAGCAAACAAGGAGCAGTTCAGTCATACTCGAAAACGTACATGTTGTTTGACGTCTGCTCATTCTGCGCGGTTGTCGGCGGGTGATCTCGTTTGGTGTGCGCCATTTACCCGGATTCAAGGGCGGCCGTTGAATCCGGGTAAATAGCGCACACCAAACGAAAAGACCGAACGACTAGCACGCGTAGTGAGCACGTGCACAAAACATGTACGTTTTCGAGTATGACTTCGCTGCTTCTTCTTTGTTTCGAACTCTGTTTGCAAATTGAACGGCAAGAACCGTTTTCAGCAAGGGGTTATGCCAAAATGTGGGTACACTCAGAACACCCCGCACTGGCGCTAGAGAAGCTGCCGCTGTTCCCTGGCGGGTGTCATGTACTTATTATAGTACCGTCAGTGCACGAATTGCTGTGGGACAGATCCCACCTCTCACCACAACAATGGCTAATAATACAATAGTTAGGGTTTGTCTACTGAGGTACATATCATAGCCGATGTGATCTCTTGATAGCCAACGAATCACCCTATATTTTCTTCGCCAACTGAAAAATATCAACGTCGACCCCCCTGTGGTATTTTTTTCTGCCGCGTCCCCTACTCGCGTCCACTCGCAGCGTGTGCTCTGTTTCTCTTCACTTCTCTGGAGGCTCTGCCGATCTTCATGGAGGAGCGGTCCATCTACACCCGCGAGCACAGCAGAGGGGCCTACCGCGTCATGTCCTACCTGCTGTGCAACTTCCTCATCTACCTCCCCGTGTGCCTGGTCATGTCGGTGGCCTTCACCGCCATCTCCTACTTCATGGTGCGTTCGTTGGTTTGTCTCCCTTTACCATGCCGCTTATTCTGGCCTTGGGAGCCTTTCATCTTTTTTTACCTCTAGCGTAGGGTGACTGACTGACTGAATGAATGAATGAATGAACGCGTAGTTCTTCTGCCGGTGTCCTTCCCTTTCCCAAATAGTCTCGCTTGCACGCGCGGGATGACAAAAGTGTCCGATGATTCTAGGCCACCTAGTAGTCCCTTCTCCATCATCGCGGAATACTCCATCGTCGCGCATGGACCTTCCACGTGACTCTGCCAAGGTTTTCTTTCTCTGGGACTTGAGTCCAGCGTGATGCCTACGGGCCTGTAAAAACAATGATCGTGGTTTTGTGCATTCGACCTTTCAACCAAGTCCTTGTGTAGGGTTGTCCTCATGTAGGGACTTAGGAGTTGAGTTAATTCACTCTGTCGGGAAACATAGTTGGCCAGAGTCTTGGCGTGCAAGAGAGAGCAACGCGGAAAAAAGGAGCAAGGCGGTACACATGGGAGCTTTTTGTTGTTTCGCACCCTCAGGAAGTGCCAGTGTGAGGCACAAGCTCACGGAGGCAATGGTATTGCACGAAGGTGCGCACCACGATCTCCGCCCCGTGTATAAAAGCTTGGCGGCGAGAGTCCCAAAGCGCCCATCAAATGGCTTCACCCAACCAACGATGGATAGCCCCTCACGAGCCAACCCGGTGGGCCTCCTCGAGCACCCCTGCATGTCTGGCCATTGACTGACAACTCCCCCCGCCATGTACACCGGCTTATGACACGTGATTTTTGTTTTTTGCAGATCGACCTTCCTCCGGCTGGTTTTCCGTTCCAAATCCTGGCCATCTTCATGACTCTGCTGGAGGGGAACGCTTTCGCGACCTTCGTTTCCGGTTCTGCCCCTGATCCGCTTACGGTAAGACCCTCGAAGATCGAGGCAAATAGAGAGAAAACAAGAGACAGAGACAGAGACACACTGCCAGAGACAGAGAAAGCGACTGAGAGAGAGACAGAGACACTGTCAGAGACAGAGACACTGTCAGAGAGAGAGAGAGAGAGAGAGAGAGAGAGAGGCAGAGAGAGAAAGGCAAACCCAGTTTGCCACTTTGCTGTAATCTTGGGCGGACGTTGTTTTGGCTTGTCGCGTACAGTAGGGCGAACGCGTTTGGTGGCAGTCGGCGGCTTGAGTTGTCGCTACTGCAGGCGACTATCTGCGCACATAGCTCTTGGTGTCGGCTTTTTTTTCGCCTGGGAAGGGTTTTGCCAGTATTCCGCTTTGGTCTCCGTAGAAAGCACTCTCCCTGGGTCACCTTCTTCCGGTGCAGATGTTGCCAGGCGGGGTGCCTCACCGGACTTTTGACTATACTTCCTCACATGGGTATCAGCATGGGCATAGAGTGGTTCCTTCATCAGTCCGCAACAATACGGCCGGGCGGTCATCCTGTGTGTAAGGGCGGTTAATTCTGACGACACGAAAAAAAAAATTCGGATGCAAGATATATCCTACCGTGAATAGTACCCGGGTGTCCGATAATCCAAGGCCTGTGAAAATCCTTTGGCATTCTGCGGCATTCTGCCGGGGCCACTACTGTAGTGCGATCACATACACCCAACCCTCGTTCATAAGCCGCCCGAGTCACACCATCCTGCTCTGATATTACGCCAGCAGGCTTTGTGAGTTGCTGAACCCCACATCCATGAACAATGTTTGCTCTGTAGGGAAACGGGTTGGGCACGGCTCTGCTGGCTTTCATGTTCCTGTTCAGCGGATTCTTCATCTCCTACGATGACATCCCAGACGGGTGGAAATGGTTCAGCGCCTTGTCCATGTTCAAGTACCCGTTCGAGGGCATGATCCGGAACATGCTGGACGAGGAAAAGGAGCGCAGCGGGGCATCGGAGGAAATAGAAGCTTTTGCCGACGAAAGCAGCGTGTCGGACATCGACATATGGGTCGTTGTTTATGGTCCCTTGTGCTTTATCGTAGGATTCCGGTTCCTCTTCTACCTGGCCCTCGTCTTCAAGCACAGCGGAAACCGCAAGTAGACCGTACGAGCACCGAGCGACCGGGGGGATAAAACTCGGGGGGTCAAACAAGGGATTAGGTGTGACGCCTTTGAAGTCATGCGGTTGTGAAAAGGTGTATTTCTGTAGATAAAGTTGTGCGCATGATGGGAGATATATCATGGGTCTCCAGTCTGGGATGTTATTGATTGTTCCTGCGAGACACCCGTCCTTCATTTGTCTCTGCTATTTTCATTTTCATTTTCATTCTGTGTTATAGTGTGGTTTGTTTTCCGCTGAGGCGCTGATTGGTTTGGCGAAGGGACCCGTTTGGATTAGGTTTTCTTTCTCGAAACCCGAACGAACGTGGGTTGGAACTTGGGTAGTAGGGTTGGAACTTGGGTAGTAGGGCTGTCCCCTGTCCCCTCCTCCTTCGCTCTCTCCCTCCCTTTCTCTCGGCGGAAAAACGTTGACGCTTTACGTCGCTCGGGGTTAAGTTCGCCTTCCTCGAGGGAAAATGAGATCTTCACTTCTGATTCCTCTTGTTCCTGATTTTCTCCGTCCTGCTGGTCTCCAAGTTTTTTTTTGTGATCTGCTATCGCGTTTTAGAATGTTCTGGGTTCTCTTTTTTGTTGAGAGCAAGTCGACAAATGTCGTCGGCGTTGCTAGTCCCCAAGCTCCCTTTTTTGTTTTTTTGCTCATTGTATCAGGGTTGAGAACGGAAGCGGGGGCGGACTCCTCATGTACGCATCGCGTTGTAGGGTTTTCTGGGCTCATTTTTATTTCCGTTCTTGAGTCATATTTTACCACTGGTCTTCTCACCATCAATACTTTGTAAAGCTCGGGAGTTACATCCGTACGTACGTGTAGCTTGACGAGGTGATCACGAATACCGTTGTTTCTTGTATCGTACGAAGGCGAATGGACAAGTTGCTGTGCAAGGACCATATCGCATTTATTAAGGATATTAAGGCAGAAAATAAGGCGGATGCGTACCTCGAGCAACGTAAGGATTTCTAATTGAAGTGCGGGCGCCTAGAGCTTCTGCCGCACGCATCAGATTGAAGAGGTTCGAAGGCTACTTGGGGAGACGTTTGTGTTGTATGTCCATCTCTAAGCGACTTGTATCCACTATTGAGGGCATTTCACTTTTCAGGGTGCCACTACATATCGGGACCACTACTGTACCACAAAAGTGCGGCTAATATTGTACCTACCTACTGGTACATTCGTCTGGCCCCAACCGGTGGGGGTAAAGTTGTGTGTGTGTGGTATCAATCACACCTTTGGCATAACCACGGCGAGAATTTCCTGCTTTCAGTTGTAGAGTAGGCCACTACTGTAAAGTACTATAATAGACGGGGCCTCAATCTGAAGGCGTAGACTACATAGTCTAGGCAACGTCGACCCTAAATTGATCGAGATCAGAGCAATTCGGTGTACCTCTGTATGTAGTCTATGTAGTAGGAGCACCTGCTGCATGCTCGTCATGTTTCGCCCATGAGACAGCCGATCACCGACACTCAAAGAAGTGACAGCCAAAAACGTAAACGCAGGAGGTACCACTGAAGCTGAAAGTGCTGTGTAAATAAATACTACTTGTCAAGGAAGACGGGGCGGTTTCTCAGTTTCTCGCGCAATGGAGGTTCACAAAAAAAGTGCCGTGGTTCGGGGCTTCCGACTTCCGACTGAAAAATATCACCAGACTTGCCAGACACGGTTCACGTTTCTCAGGCGAAAAAAAATATTGACAACGATCAGCGTGGCTCGGACAACATTGGATGGGCCACCGGAAGAGGATACTGTACGACAACACTCATCACAGGCAGGTGCCGCACCTACCTATGGATATTGTAAGACCACGACTTGTCGATTTACTCGATCTCAATGGTGCACGACACCACCTCTACCTCGCGATGGGTATCGGTATTGGATGGGTGGGAAAAAAGCACGACACCGCGTGCACCATACGGCGGCACCCACACATAAGCAAACAACACTGCTGCTGTTGCTGTATATACGCTACGGCGACTACTGCTGTTTGCTGGAGCATTGGCCAGGAAACCGGACTAACCACTCCCCAAGCGAATGGTGTTCCCAAACATCGTGCGGGGGGGGGGAATCAACAACGCAAGCATGCACGTTTTGGGCATGCACCGGGAGATACATGGCATGGGTGATCCCCACAATATGCGTATTTTGATGTCCTTCGTCTTCGCAAGTCGGAGGCCTCTCGAAGCCAGGATATGTATGTAGCCATCCGCACCTCAAAACACATCTCTGTGGAGACGGCCTGGCAAACACCCCCCCATCCCCCATGTGCCTACGCACATGGTGACCCCACCTTTGGCGGGGATTCCGTCACTGCTGCAGTGCACTTCCAGTTATATTCCTTCTATTTACAGTTACATTCATCCCCCGAACATCCCGTTCCTCCTCGCGTTCCGATCGTCGTTACGCCATATCCAGAACAAAGACACCAAACTCCACGAGGGGAAAAATCAAAAACGCCAACAGAAACACGGCAGACTCACGTACGTGTGTACTACTGAAATTTCAATTATACATCCTCATTCTCAAACAAACGGCAGTTAGTGCTGCTGTGCCCAGCACAAATCCTACCGTAAATGAATGTACAATATGGACAATAGTGTACCTGGAACGCATTGCAGCAAAAGGTTGCATGAAGAGAAATTTACTGCCGCCTGTGACCATTAAGCAATGCCTCCCGGGGGGGTCAACTCGCCACAACATAGCGACGCACATTTTACTGGCTTATCTTGTGTGTGACAGCCTGCAACCCCCGCTGATGCGTCCAGAAAACGTACCGAAGGGCAAGTGCAAAGAGTGACTTCCACACGTTATACGAAATACTAACTAATTTAGGACTGCGCACACCCAGGGTGCGCGCTGTCTGCCAGTGAACATGCTCTTCGACTCATGATCACCATCATGGCGCTCAAGCGACTGTGGCGACAGTGGTCGGCGTGATGGCCCTAGCACGTTCCCCTCGGCTGCTGCACCCTGCGCCCGCGGAGCTCGGTGACGCCTGAACATCAGCACGAAAAAAACAAATGTAGGCTCAATTCCGCAGGAGGAGCACGCCGTCCAAAAATTGTGGTACATTATACGGGGCGTGCCTCCGGAGTGGGCTCGTCAGATCATATGATTAGTACAAATGCCATCAAGGCGTGATGCAAAATGAAAGTCAACCGTGCTTGGGTGTGAACCCATCGTATGAATCAGCTGCCATCAGCGACGGTTCCGAAGCTCGAGCAGCTTATATAGCTGACGTGTCTCTGACTCGAAAAGCCCAGCGAACCCCAACGAACCAAATACAAAGTGAAAAAATAGCAGTCGCGAAACGGAGTCGCGAAACGGTCGTCGCGGCGAGGTCGGCGCAGCGATGGCAGTGCTGTGGCTGGCAAACTGTTGGCTGTATCGAACCAAGGGTTCCTCCCTGCCAACAGGGGTTTACACTAAACCAGACAGGTGCAACACGCACACGTCCTTACGTCAGACTTTGTGATTCGTGTGTGTGTCGTTTGTCCTACCTTTTCTATTATGGCACCAATCAGTCTACACACCGTTCGGTGGATGCTTGACACACCAACCGGGGTCACACAGGATGAAGGCATAAAACGACGAGCTTGATATTCATCAGACTTTGCCGCTGATTCCCCTTTTTCACAGCAAGGGTCAAAATGACAGGATTGAAGAATACAGCACAAACGCTGGTGAAACAGCCTTTTCGTTTTCCTCACTTTCCGTCATCCAAGTCCCCCACCCTGCACCATGCTTGGCGCTTGCACACCTTATCGAGCACCCTCCTTCTCGTATCATACGTTTCGAACGGGATACAAGGGCGGCACACATCAACTGCTGTACACGCTCGGGAACAAACTTCTTAGGCACCAAGAGCTGAGGGCAACATTGCCCATCCTGAGCCGAACTTCGCGTGCCACATCACCAAAGCTTCGCTCCGACCCATGCCTCAAAAGCCTCAAATAATTCTCCAGTAACTCCATCCGTCTGTGGGTGTGCGTCGCATTACCATCCCAGCATGATCTCCTGACCCCCCCGACACGCACCTGAGAGAGCCTTCCCTCTCCCCTTGCCGCACCCTCCCTCTCACGCAGGCGATCGTAATCCTGTAGCCTGGTCCTGAGCACGAACTCCGTGAGGGGGGCGTTGGGTGCTGCAAACGCGGTGCCAGATGTCGATGCTGAAGTTGATGTCGATGTCGATGTAGGGATCATAACGCGAACGATGCGGCCTCTTTTCGTCTCTTCGCCTGAAATTATCAGTATGTGCAAGGGTCCGCCAATCAGATCAGGTCAGATCCGACCAAAAGGTACAATTCTAGTCGGAAGTGTTTAGTGAGAGGCCGATTGCGCGTTCGACGCACAGCGACAACAATGACGACCGACCGCGACGAGTCCAACCAAGTGTTTTTAGAGTCATTCGGTACAACAATTGAATTGAGAGTTTCGGCGAAAAAAACAACTCTTCCGGTACCAACAAGCGTGGTCCCTGTGCGTGCAAGGCCGGTTAAACCGCGTGACACAGATGGAGTTTGTTAGGTCGTGCTCTGAATAATGCCCGTACAGTATGCCGCCTTATGCAGGGGCCATCATGTGGTGAGGGCAACGTACTGTAATACGCACAGCACGCGAGGCAACATCACACGAAAAAACACGAAGTTGGAGGGGCAAGGACGTCCAAGGGAGGCAGGCCACGACAGCTCTATTGTACAGTAGCAACGCGGAGCAATTTCGTTCCCACGACTCACTCTTCGAGCGAAGCTTCTGGTACTGGCAAAGGGCATGCAACAGCAGCCGGTGGAACGGAGACGGGCCTAGGGGCACCAGGAGGGTGGGTCCGGCTCCGGCCTCCGCTGACTTTCCCGCTGACTTTCCCGCCTCCTTCCTGACCTCTACTTTAGGGGGAGAGGCCAACGCCGAGCGCAGCGCCGATGGCATTTCTGTCAGTATTTGCTTAGTCTGCGTGGATCGAAAAAAAACGCAGAAAGGGAGGAAAGGGTAGCAGAGCGTAAGGGGACGGGGATAAAGAGTCTTGCTGTTGGTAACGCCCCTCCCGCCGAGAGCGACTGTACCACGGCTAGCGCCGCCTGGGGGTGACAGATGGTACAGTACTGACGATTCCATCCGGCTGGGTGCCCAAACGCCTTGAGTATCTTTGCGGGGCACTAGGGTAGCTTGGTAGCTTGGTAGCTGCTTACGACCTCGGCCGTTCTATTACAGGCCCTCTTCCTTCTGTAACCGGTAGTTCTGCACGTTAATCGCAACCCGCCATAACACACCTGAGTGAATTCTCCTAGCAAGGTTTCCAGCCCCTCCAGGAAGCCCACAAGAGCGGGGTTGCGCAACGCCCGAACAACGATGTCCCTGAGACGACGCTCTACCAACAGAAACCTCTCTTCTGCATCTGGGATAAGCAGACGGGCAAGCAGGTTCGGCAGAGACGAGGAGGCAGCATGAGGCGAAACCGTGGATCGGGTGAAAATAGAGCGGCTATGTTTGACCTCGGGAAGGTACGTGTTCGACTACGTTTTCGATTACGATCGTCGTTGGAGGACACTTGAGTTGCGACAAACAAAACCTAGAAGCATCCATAGGGAAGAGAGAAAAAAAAATTCTACTGTAGCGGGCACACCGCCGAAAGAGAATAAATGCAAAAATCGAGGGAGTAACGACAGAGAACAAAAAAAAAAAAAACCATGACAGGAAAACAACCCACCTTCCCACTTTCCCCCCGTGAAATGCCTCGCTCCCGATCCGGGAGCACTACCCCCCTTCTGCGGCGTCGGCTGCATGCCGTTCCGAAAGCTCTCTCGGACCTCCGCTGCCCTTGGGTCGGACACCAGGTCCCCTAGGCTGGAGCGCCACGTATGCTTCACCTGCGAGTCGGGCAGAGGAAATCTGGCCGGTAAGGTGCGTTAGTGGAGCACCACTATTATAGTACGGCCGCAGTCGTGAGTAATCACACGGGTACCAACGAGTCTCCACCGAAATGCTGTGTCAACGTCTCGCCGGAGAGGGGCTCGACAAACAGGAAGATCGGTCGATGGGGATGATGACGGTAGGGGAGGTTCCGCCGCGAAAAAAAACAAAACGCGGTTCTCTGAAAAATCTCACGAACCAGCGAGACAGCGCGTGTGTGGGTGTGTTTGTTCTTTCGTGGGCTAGGGTTATGGTTATGTTTAGGGTTAGGGTTAGCGTTAGTGGTGAACCAAAGGGGGGGTATCTGCATACAGTATACCCCCCGGGGGGCGTACTTGCACAAAAACAATCCTCTTCCCTCCAGGGGAAGCCCGACAAATTTCACCCTAGTGAACTTGAGTGGAACCACCGGCCTTGATACTCGATGGGTAAGGACGGTGTGCTCCGTGCAATACGCGAAAGCGGTCAACTCGCGAGGTCGTGGATATTCTGCGAAGAAGCCTCAACACGGTACGTCTTCAACAACCTCCTCATCGCAAGTACCGAGAAAAAAAAACAGTCTTCCAGTACTGCGCACCGTGAGATGCTCGGCCTCTCCCTCTTCGTGGGCGTGGCGCCCCCGCAGAAATTTCTCCACCCCGAGAAGATTATCTGCGGTTGAGAATGCTGGTGGTGTTATCTTGAAGGAATCGCCGGTGGCAAGCAACCCTACCGGAGCTCTTCACCACAGCCGGACACCAGTTGTCATGCGTCGTGGTGCAGACTTTCGTATCGTCTGGTCTTGTGCAATCATAACCTGTCGTTCTGAAAGCTACTGGTGCGATGCTCGCGTTGGCGCCCGCTGCGGAGGCAACCAAACGCTGAGGGATCCCATTGGCCTTGTCTCACTGACAGCCGGGGTATGGTACAACCAAAGTGGTACATACGCGCAACGACTTCCTGACCGCATGCGCCGAGGCTTAGTCGTGGCACACAGCGTACGGCACGTTATGAAACATGCATGGCACATGGAAAAATGTGACACCTCTCTCTCTCACCGTTTTCCCAGCGCCTTTGCTTCCGTCGGCCCGCGGGCTGCCGCCTTGATTCTCCCTCCCTCCTTGTCGCCGATGACTGCTGCACGGGGGCCGCGGCAGTGTGCAGGATGCTGGACGGCCGAAGCCTGTTGCACAGTGCCGCAAACAAAAAAATCGGTCGCGTCAGCGCATGGTAGCATCGCACGACATCAACCGACCAAGTGGGTCGCCGGCGGCCCTACGTCGATACACCGAACAATCAGGTTTCTCGTGAAACGTTCCCACATCCTTTCTGCTCCGTCATGAGTTGAGGGAATTACGCATGCAAAAAGGCTTGTCGTTAACCGTTCTGTAGGCTTCTCTACTCTGTCATGAGTTCAGGGGACTGCGTCGGCAGGAGTGTAGATAGCACCTCCAAAGAACAAAATGTCCGGTATTAATTGTTTGGACAAGAGTCGAAAGGCTACCTGGGGTCATCCCTTGGGTCATCTCGGAGTTGGCTGCTTGGCCGTCGGTTCGCCGGCACCAAGATGCCTACTCTGCCACTGCAATCTATGCATACAGCATAGCTCTGCTTGTTGTCATGTTAACCTGCATCCTTACTGATTTCAAATGTTGAACAGTGTTTGAAGTTGCACTCGGAATTCTGTCCTCTGTCGATTGGTACAAAAAATAGGATGAAGACATGCGGAGTTTCAAAAACCTTTCAGGTTCACTCGCTGCCAGCCCTACGCTGTCTTGTGGGTCACTTTTACAACCTGTTTCCCAACAACACTCGTCACGAACGGCGTCTCCGACGTATGCGTCGTATTCATGTTAATTGTAAGGATCGGCGGTTGTCTACATACTCTTGTTATTTGCAGCACGCTTTCTCCCATGAGAATGGCCGCTGTTTCGGTGGGCAAAACGCCTTTAGCGTCGTCGACGAACAAGAGCAACACGTCTGCAGGCTTTTGCCATCACTTCAAAAGGAAACAGACAGGGGTTTGCACGTTCCGCAGATATCCTCTGCGCGTCCCAGCCAAGTTTAAGTGTATGCAACCTTGGTTATGGAATCGACGCCGTCGGAGAGAGGGCCGAGGGGGTGTGCTGTTGACTCCACAGGGGCAAGGGAGCACGGGAGTGAAATTGAAGTGGTTCATGAAAGCGGGGGAACACACACACCACGACGAAATTGGGTAGGCAGGATGGAAAAGACCGCATCGGTTACGGGCACAGATGAGTGGAACAACAACGGCCGTCTCCAACGCGCGAACGCGACGTACGACCGCTTGTGCACACACTGCAACGCGAGCCCTGGGGAGAGATGATGTGTATTGAACTTTCAAATGCAGCAGCTGAGAGCAGCATCATCCGCAGTCCAAAAGCAGGTCCAAAGTCCAAAAAGTAGACTACCGGTAACACCCGGGACGAATCAAAAATTCCGAGGCCAAGCAACACGCTATTGCACGTGTCGTAGGAATCACCTTTGCGGGGTGTGCGTGCGGTTGAGCCGCTGCGGGGTGTGGGCCCTCCCGGCGCCGGTGTCCGCCGAGAACACCACGGCTAGGCTGTCATCCTCATCGTCATGCCCTGTACGACCATCAGGATGATGATGGACACTTTCAACTGCTCCCCCATGAGACGGAGAACGCTGACGATCATCTCTTGTTTCGTAGTGACGTGCAATCAAGACGGGAGCTTCCTCTCGGGGAGGTGACGTTCCAAAAGCAGGCGCATACATGGCCGAGTTTATCCGCCCTGTTGAGCACGTGGAGGTGCTGTCGGTGTGTGGGCACGGGAGCTCAAAGGGCAGGAACAGGGCGCGTGTCATCTCGCGTGACACTCGCAACACTCCAACACTCCACACTCGATTCGGGGGCATCGCAGATAGCAGCCCTTATCTTAATTCCGCCGCTTCCAGTATCGCGCCGCACTGGTTGGCTTCGCAGCTTCGCAGGTGGTTCGGTGTTAGGTGTTAGGTGTTAGGTGGTTCGTGTGATCGTCCCTCTTTGTCTCTGCGCAGTGCGTGTCTCCTGGTGCACTTGCCGAACGAAATCCATGATACTGCGACTAGCGCAAGCAAGATGCCTGCAGGCTCTTCGGGTGGGCAATCCATCGATGTCGGGAACTTTGTGGACATCGAACGTGCCCATCTCAGCGGCGGTTCTACTGGGCCAAGAATACGGCGGCGGCCGTGTGTTCTCGAGAGGGTTGAAAGGACAGCCTGATTGCAAGGTCAAGACCGACGAGCTGGCAGCACCAGAACGATCGACTCCGGCGAGACTGGTCGTAACGCATAGCAGGTGGATCTACGGGCGAAAAGCTCTTCATGAGAACGTTCGGACCATGAAGGGATAGGCCACAATGGCAATCCGGCATTTGGTCCCAACTCTCAACTCCCAACGATCTTGAACGAACAGAGCAAGCTGGTTCCGCCGCCTGTGTGATGATCCCTCCGCCCTGCAGCTACCTACAGCAGTTCCAGTATCCATGACTCCACGGCATCTGATGTTGACGTATTTTAGTTGTCATTCTATCGTACAACATACAAAATGGCTCTAAAAGTATACATACCGAGTTCAGCCCCGAACGTGCTTTCATCACGTTTCTTCCATTCTACACCACCATCACCATCTGTGGCCTTGTGGCCCTCCGAACCCAGTGCATGTGCTGCTGCAAGGGCATACCCATGGTAGACCATGTGATAGTATTGCTGTACTTGTGCTTCAATCAAGTTTGTCTCGCACGTTGGTGGGGTTTTTACGAGGCTGCTAGTGAAGTGATCACATGTTCACAACAAGTGTGCGTGCCGTCTATCTGCGTACCTTGCGCCACACTGCTGTGTTTGCCTCTAGCTCACCCTCGCACCCTCAACTATACGCGATTGCTTTCACGTGGCTCCCAGTTACATGGACGGGCTGATACCTCTTCTCGACCGATTCATCACGGACCCGGATGCCGTGAACAGCGTTTCGTCCGTCATTCCAGGAAGGATTTACGTCGTCAAGGGTGAGCGTTCTGCGTCGGGGCCATCTATATCTATCTTGAGAACTTAAGGTCGTAAGCGTTTTGATTAAGAACGATAAGGTTCGATCCATATTTTTGCTACTGCTGGTTGTCTACACATACCTGTGTACATGGATCGGGCTGTTGATGCCTCAATGCGGCCTTGTCTCCCTAGCTCAAGAGCTCCGATACGGGTTCACACAGCGAGAGCCCCTGTCCGCGCCGTATGGCTTGAAATTGAGCGTGTCATGTTTCTCGAAGGAGGGCTGGCCTCAAAGAAGCAGAGCCCGTCTGAAACCATGCGGGGAAGGGTGGTGTGAGAAGGAAATGCTTCGGGTCAAATGTATCCATCACGCACGCTTTGTGCCCAAGTGGCACACTTTACTTTGTGTCCACCATGAAAACGCTCGTGAGACGTCTGCGTTGTCATTGCGATACGAATGTCGCTCTTAGCTCCTCTCCCCCTATCACGCCCCGGCCCCCTTTGTTGCCGGGTTCCGCCAGGGAGGTCGGAACTTTTCAAGATGACGGTACGAGATACAACGAACGGCTTCAAGGCGCTTGCTCGAAAAGGAACTTTAGGACAGGAGGTGTTCATCAGCACAACCAAAATGAACCTAGACGACGTAAAGGTGAGAGGACCGCCGGAGGTAGGAAGGAACCTAACCACACCACATGTCCCGAGTAGTACCTTCACCGCGGACGTGTGATCGCCTCCGCCCCCGCCCCCCATGCGATTAAAGTCGAATTTAAGCACCAAGAATAAGGAACTTCCCCGGATAAGGACACTTTTTTGTTTTGGAAACATGGTGCCGCGCAGAATATATTGTAAAGGGGGGGTGTCAAATACATTCCGCGGAACCCCCTTCAAACAGCAGTTCGCAGCGCCCCTGCAGACCGCAGACTTGCCGTAGAGAGGTCTGCTGCTGCACGTGTTGTCTGCGGGTATGGAAAGACTCCTTCCACCCAGCGGTGCATCGTCTGCACCTGGCACGACCGTCGTGCATCACATCTTTGGTGACAGAGGCCGAAGTACGCAGTAGCCTAGAGAAGGTTCGCTCCTACTTGTACGCGAACGGAAAGGGTGGGGCGTACCCCGCCAAAGCCAGTACCAACTTTCGGAAAAGTTGTGCATTCGTTCACTCACGAAACTCTAGTCAAGCGGCGAGCTAAGGATGGGGGGGAGCTGCAGGCAACTCTGCGCGACATGTGGAGGTCGTAGTGTGTGGAGTTTTTGAACCAAGGCCGTGTTTGGGGTGGCCAATGTATGTCTTGAATGCGTGGCAACACATGAGATTGGCGCACAGGAGTGGTTGCAGTGTGCGGTCGACCAGAGTTGTGCAAAGTGAGCGCGAAGGTTCAAGCGTTCACATAACATCTTGGTTGTAGTGTTGTTCAGTCAAAATTGCCCTCTTTCGTGCAACGAATACTGGAGCCCAATGCGCGTCTTTTGGCGCATAAACGGCCTCTGTTGGCCCCGGGGATGGTGAGTTGTGTCCCCTGAAGTTTAAGGACACTTCCTTCCCCAGCTTAGGGACACTTTTTTCAGCGAAAAACCACGTGTGTCCCTAAGCGAGATTTTTACTTTCGCCGCTTCGGCCACCTGTGGCTCCATGACGAGACCGCCGTATATAGCGATAAGGCTGTGAACACTGACTGGTTGGTGTACGACGCACATAGCGGGAGGGTATGTTTGAAGCAAGACGAGTGGCAGACCAGAAACAAAAATGTATGGGGTACCGTACGTAAACAAGTCAGCCTGACAACGACTCTTTTCGCCGTTATGGTGCCATGTAGCCCCGCTTCGCTGCTGCTCGCTCCTGCGGCTATACATTGACAGTTGTTTTGAGGTACTGACGACAACGTCACCGTGTTCCGCCTGACCGACAAGATGGGCGCGCTGTCGTTGCCTCCCGCTCGGTGTTCCCGGTTTGTTCGAAGCAGGCAGCGTTAAATCGTGCGGCGGGCTTCGACTTGGAGAAGGGCGGGTCCCGTCGCGAACAGAAGGCGGGGCGGAAGCGGCGATAGCACAAGTAGCGGTGGTCAGTTTCGCCCCGCTCCGCGCGCACCAAACGACGCTCGAACGCATTCAGGGAAGCACTGTTGAAGGGACCAACGCGAGGAGTTGCGATGACGACAATAGGTAGCAGCATAGACGATAAATAGCTAGCGTGAGGGCCCCGAGCGGTTGATCTGATCCCCGATAGCTCTGCGAGTTCGCCTGTGACGACCGAGGCACCCCACCAGCCATGAGCTTCGAAGCTTTTCTCATCGCACGATCACCATCTAGACCAACCATATATGGATGGTGCAGTAGTTTGCTTACTGCGACCACTCCTTGTCGTTGGCTGCCAGCCCAACGCTACGTAAAGCATGGTTAGGTGGTGTGTGGCTAGTTCATATGCATTTGTCAAGTCACCGTTCCTAGTAACGCAGCAGCAACCGGGAACCTTAAGATTGAGATTGAGACGGTGTGCAACTGTGGGGGAGGGTTGACATGTTGCCTGGTGATGGCAAGGTGATTAGCCCGCACGACTTGCGGCACATGCCACTGTCCGATGGCCGCTCGGTTCGATGTTCGCATGACGTGACGGGCCTTCTTCAAGCCGGTGCGAAAAAAAAAGTAACTGATTGTTGACAAGGTTAAGGTTTGAGAGCAACGTGTCTCCCGCAAACATCTCGCCACAGCATATCAGCTAGTCTCTGGTGTGAAAAGGCTCGAAACAAGCGCTAGATGTTCTGACTGCACCCATCCCATCCAGCAGGGCGACCTCTGGTGAATCGTCTCATCAATAGCTGGATGCCATGGAAATTCTCTGTCTTCGAGAACACATGTGAGCATACGTTTCCCTAGATATGTCTTGTCAAGTGTGTTTTCTTGCGGCAACAACTCTTCACGTAGGCGTAGTAAGACCTGGACTACAGCGGTATCTAGCAGTTTGCCCACGCAATGCCTGTCTATCTGTGCTAAGCCACTCCTCTTTCATCCCACAAGTATATGCATTGCCAGTAGCACACGAAGACGCCATGCCGCGTGAACACAACAAAACGTACCACGGACTTGTTCTACACAGGGAGACACGCAACACACCCGTCAACCTGTCCCTCTGTCGCCGAACAATGGACACGAAAGCTTGACTGGGCTTCGACTCGACGCCCACTCGACTCTACGCTGATGCTCGTGACACGCCCACACGCCAGGTGTGCATCATATTTTGGCTTGGGTTGCCCCACGCGATGCCCTCTCACCTCCACCAGCACCCGAGCAAACCAGCCCTAGGCCTGTCCTGCCCCACAGAAAAACCCATGAAACCAATGCACTCTCACAGCCACGGGAGCGAAACAAGCGGCGGTTACACACCCTTCCAACCGTTCGTGCGTGCCAACTGGGACCTGCGACAAAATCCAAACTACTTCTCGAGCGGCCAGCACAGAGTCGTAACGCCGTAACGCCGTGAATTGCGGGCTGAGCCTGGCAACTCACGGCAAGGGCTGCTGCCCAACGAGCGTCAACGAAATCAGCCTGTTGCTGCGGCTATCCTATCCACAACGATTTCGGGTTCTTTCGTTCAGAGACCTACCGCCCCTACAACAATAGCCAACACACATGAAGAAACGACCAGAAAGAACGACTTTGCTTGCTCGAAAGCTAACAAAAGAAGGAAAAGACCACAAGCGATGGACAAGAACGAGGAAAGAAATGATCTTGCATCTCGCACAGAACACTGACGACACAGATAGACTTGCCCTTCCCCATACATCGCAAACTCGCACCTACGCTTGCACAGAACTCTGTAAATCCACAGTCAAAATGCTTCAACACGGTAAGTGGAACCGTTCGCCCAGCAACTGGATACCCATTACTACTGCTGTTGTTGCTTCCTTCTCGGCGTACACGCTGATCTTTAGCCCTTCTCGGAAAGCTGCTGCTGCTGCTGAAAGGATAACGGCAAACACGGTGCCACAGGATCGAGATTTCTCGCGCCCTGTACAGCACAACCCACTACATACTCCTGAAAGAGGCGAGAGTATTTTGACGGGGGTAGAGCCAACAAAAAAAAAAAAAAACACTGGCAAGTTCTCTCTCTCTGCGCACAACAACACCAACACGTTTTGTGCCTCTAATGCTTTGCCCCAGCCACAAACAGTTTCAAACGACCACCCATGAAAATACAGAAAAAAATAAGCCTCCGATTGAAGTCATCTACACCAGCACACACCAGATAGCCCACAGGAGTCGGCTTACAGCACCAGAACAGAACAACGGCGACTAGACGCCGCGGAAATTGAGCACACATATTTTGTACAAAAACAGTGGTAGGTATCAACACGTACGACAGACAGCTACCTACCCTCGACACTACCAAGCTTAGCATCCTGCTTTCGACCGCCCAAGCACCAAAGGCCCACAAAACCCCGGCAGCAGGTAAGAATTAGAATGTTTTCAAACACCCGCCTCCTGGCGCTTCACAGCAGAAAAAAGAGACACCGATTGTTAGTAGTCCACCCTACCACAGCTACCGCACGGCCGCAGCCCTTCCTTCTCCATGAGCGCCAAGAACTTGAGCCGATCGCACCACAGCACGGGGAGCCGGACCATCTGCACCGTCAACCCCACGAACATCGCCACAAGGGCAACAGCTGCCGGCACCAGCAAGGTGGGCAGGCTCGCCGCCCCCGACATCGGCTTCCACGCCGGCAGGAACGCCAACACCGCCACCAACAACGTCAGGCTTGTCACGCTCTCCCGCCAGGGGGACGGCGTGACCACACCCCCTACCTTGAGAACGCTCCCTGCCGCGGAGCCCCCGCCAGTGAGTTTGGGTTTGAAGGGGTCCGTGCTGCTGCCGCCGCCGCCCCCGCCGGGCACGGGGCAGAGGTTGGTGTTGATGCTGGCGAGGTCGAGGGGGCCGTTGCCGATCATGAAGGCGCGGGGGGACAGCTGCGGCTGGCGGGAGATGAACCAGAGGTAGGCAGACCACAGCGTCCCGAACAGGGTGCCGGTCCACGTGATGAACACGATCCAGCTCATCCTGCTCGCGTTTGGATAATGATGTTGTCGTTGCCGTTGTCATTGCCGAAAAAGAACAAAAATAACAAGAAGAACGGCATGAGAACACAAGAAGAAAGGGTCTCGGGGTAAGGTTGCCCATACCTGCTGCACAGCTCCCGCGGAACAGTTATGTTAAAGTCTCACATTCGGCGTGGCAAGTCGGTCGGTCCTCTTTTTTATCGTCTGCTTGTTTTTTACTCTCATTTGGTGCTTGGGTAAGACTGACCAGAGGCGAAAAGGAGATAGATGCAGGGAATGCAGAAAGCGTGTGGTCTACCAACCCCAGCGACTGGCAGAGATATGTTGTGCTTGCACAAACGTTGAGGGAAAAACGGGAGCGCGGACAAGCCCGTGTGGTGCTTGCATCAGAAGCCAGAGGCAAAAGGAGATGTATGCAGCAACGCACACCGAGCGTGAGAGGCCCGTCCACCGCAAAACAAGAAAACGGCCGTGGACACAGAGGTACGTATATCCTTGCAAAACAATTTCGGGCGAACGGTAGCCCCGCTCCACGCTCTACACTCACTTTACGGTAGAGGCAGCAGGGACCTGGACTACGCCAACCGCGACAGCGCACAAGAGCGACGAGTATCCGACGGCAAGATGGACAAGGCTCCACAGCAACCCTCGAGGGTTGTAGCTGCTTGCCGAACTCCCTCGCCGCTTCCTTTTCCATGCTAGCGCCCTGATGCAACGAGGAGGCACCATGGCACAAGGGCGCGCGCGCAGGCGGGGGCACACATCCGAGTTGGTGGAGGGGAATCATCGAGACCAGTGGGGGCACGAGTCGCACCCGTCCGAAAAAACAAGACCCGCTTCAGGCACCCCGCCCCACGGGTGGCAGTGGCCAACGACGAATACCGTGTGTGCGTATGATTTTTCGTCCCAGCTACTGTGGCGCCGTATGCACACCTTCCTGTGTATCTGCATGCTTAGCACATCACACCAGCCGGGCTCGTTCCTGTTCAACAGCAAGGGAAATGTGGTCATTAGGTGGCCTAGCCAGCCTTAATTCAACGTAAGAAGCGAACAACGGATTTGGGTAGTGAGTGTAACCTGCGGTATTTTGCCTTTCACCTTCGAGGTAGATAGAAAACTACATTGTTATTGCTGTAGAATTCTATCTCGAAGATCAACGGCAAATAACAAGGCCATATGTCAAACTCACTACGCAATTTCGATATTCTCTTCTCAAGATGACCTGAGGCAGCCTAGGCCACCTAATGGCCAACACTACACATCGTAATTGACAGCGTCACGTAGGTGGCATAATTAATACTTATCCCTTGAGATCACCCAACCTCCCTCACGCACGCTTTACCCCATACAAGAGGATCCCCATCGGTACAAACGGGCGTGAACCGTCTCAAGACGTGCTCCAACGAGACGTCACAAAGACGTGCACCAAACGTCACCAAGACGTGCCGCCGAAGGGCCTGAGCATGCCACCGCCTACGCACGCCGCGCTCTCCCCCCCCCCCTCTCACCGTGGCACCCACGCTCGCCAACCCCCCACGCACTTGGAAGGCGCTTCCCCTTTGGTAATCCTGCCGGAAACAACGGGGACAAGCACGGCACGCCCTCCGAAGAGGAAAGCCGCGACGAACGCCAACCACACCAGCACCACCCAGAACACGCTGGGGGTTGGATCGCCCGGCTTTGCTCTGTAGGGGAGGGGGACGCAGGCGAGAAAAGATCCATGTGTGGTTGGTGTGTAAACAAGCTTCCCGGGAGTCACCGTAGGCATCACGAGCGGTCCAGCGTGAGTCGCGCGTAGACGAGAGTCTCAAAATAGGCCACAAGGCGGAATGTGAAGGATGATGATGCACGTGCGCAGTAGGACTCGTGAAAAGGACTACGAGATTCTCGGCTTCTCTTCTCTTCTCTTTTTGTCTCGGCGACAATGTCCAGGCGCAAGCTTTGATGGGCAGCAGGAGTGTGGACAAAGCGGTGCCAACTCTACGAACGTTACCAAGTGCCAGAGCACCATAGGCAACGTCTAGGTAGCAAGACCTGCAACCGCATCTACACCAACAACACAATTGCGGTCCTGAATCTTGAGAGGGTAATGCAGCTCGTACTTGTTATGAAGCAAATGAAATTCACTCGTCCATGGAAAGACTCCGACAGCCGCCGCCACCCCATCGCCAACGCCAAAACATTGCAGGAGAAAACAAAAAGGGGCCACTTGCAAGTAACCCAGCCCGGCCGACCCGACACACCCACCTCAAGTGTGTGCTCTCCCACGTGGATACGAACGGCAGAAACGGCGACGCGAACCACATCCACGGCCGGAGGCCCGCAAACTCGAACCGCACCACCCTAGCCCTCCGCTGCCGCCACCACTCCTCGGGCATGGCGTTCTTCGTCCTAACCATGCCCAGGCCGCCGTTCAGCATCACCAGGGCAAGGTCTCCGTTGTAGCGAGTTGGGAGGCGGTGGCAGCTGTGGTCTAGGAGCGGGGCGTCTGGGCCACGGTTCGGATCTGTGGATGGGTCCTGTTCGGGGGGGGGGGGGGGGGGGGGGGGGGTCAAATAAAAAAAAAAAAAAAAAAAAGGGGAT